TTTTTTTGTATGTTTCAACTTCCAGCCAATAGTCTTGGCATGCATATATAGGTGTGTGTGTAAGTAGGTATGTTTTCGGTTGAGGCCTCGTCGGCTAGATAATACATCTTTATCAATTTTTATGGTTTGTCTACCATTGTTTGTATGGTTATTCTCTTTCAGGTCATGACCTCTGGATCCAGGCTTCACTTTTTAGAGGTTGTGCTGCCCAATATTTTTGCCTCACAAGTTTGGTTTAGTTAGTATGTTTCAATGGGTAACTCGATGTTTTAGGGTATCGAGTGCCAGTTACGCCGTTATTTCGGGGCGTGACAAACTTGGTATCAGAGCAGGTCGTATCCCAGGGGGGTCCACAAGCCATGTTTAGTAGAGTCTTGTTTATGGGTGTGTTGTGCACCACACTTATAATCAAGAGGCTACAGGGCATTTAGGAATGGTTACATTTCATTAAACTGATAGATCGTGCTATAGTGCAAAAGTATAAGAACATTCGAAATCTAAGTCGTGCTTTATGTTTCTTATCTAGCAGGCTACACTCGCTCCGGATATGGCAGATCGAGAGATAGGTATGGATCCAAGGGAAGGTACTAGCCGTTCCCCACCAGGTCAAAGAGATAGATTTCCCTCGGAGGCACATGGTGGATCTCCAGTACCCCTAGTAACCAGCCTCATCGGCACCTACTGAAGCCCGAGGAGATGCAGTACCCCCAACCTCACCAGTTCCATTGGTACCTGAGGAAGCTATGAACACAGGACCTCCAGTACCTATTGTTTCTCCAGCAGAGATCTCTGGGGAGCAGGGGATGAAAGAGGCAGTTCAGTTGCTGACTAGGATGGTTTCTATTCACGAGCGACAACTGGAGTCAGGAGTAGATATTCAGAGAGACTGGTCAGAAAGTTTGAAGGTACGGGAGTTTCTTCATTTGGCCCCTCCATTATTTACAGGATCTAGTCTTACTGAGAATCCCCAGGACTTTATAAACAACATATATAGAGTATTGAGAGTGATGCATGCCTCCGTCATAGAGGCTGGGGGGGGGGGTTTTTTTTTG